CCCCTACCGGACTAGTATTTAGAAACCGACCCGGAACACGCCCTGAGAGAGATAGGGAAGCTGAAGGTTGGCTCATGACCTAGGAATGAGGGAGCAGAAGCAGTCGGCCGCGCGGGGCAGAACCTGCATCGTGCCTCCTCAGTCATGAGCTATCTGGTGCCACGGATGTCGAACCAGAGAAGTGGGTGAGTCCTGGAGCTGTGACCTACACAGAGCTGCCCTGCCCCATCCCTGGTAGTCACAACCATGGCCTGGCTGGTGATGCTGGGCACACTCCTGTGCATTTCGCGGGTTGGATTAGGCAGCCGGGACTTGGAAGGCTTTCCACCCCTTGCTTCCCACGGCTGCCCCTACAAATGCGTCTGCGCCGCCGATCTGGTGAGCTGCGCAGGTCTTGGGTTGCAGGACGTGCCGGCCGTGTTACCTGCCGCTGCTGCAGACCTCGACCTGAGCCACAACGCACTCCAGCGCCTGCGCCCCGGCTGGCTGACGCCCCTCTCCCGACTGCGCGACCTACGCCTAGGCCACAACGGGCTCGATGTACTAGGTCGCGGTGTCTTCACCAATGCCAGCGGCCTGAGGCTGCTCGATCTATCATCTAATGCCTTGCGGGCGCTCGGCCGCCACGACCTCGACGGGCTGGGGGCGCTGGAGAGTCTGTTTCTGTTCAATAACCACCTGGCGCACTTGGATGAACATGCCTTCCACGGCCTGAGCGCGCTCAGCCATCTCTACCTGGGTTGCAACAAACTCGCGTCCTTCTCTTTCGACCACCTGTACGGTCTGGGTGGGACCCACCTGCGTACTCTGGATCTCTCCTCCAACCGGCTAGGACACATCTCTGTACCCCAGCTGGCTGCACTGCCAGCCTTCCTCAAGAACGGCCTCTACTTACACAACAATCCGCTACCCTGTAACTGCCACCTTTACCACCTTCTGCAGCGCTGGCACCAGCGGGGCCTAAGCGCTGTGCGTGACTTCGCCCATGAGTACATGTGCCTGGCCTTCAAAGTACCCACGTCCCGCGTGCGCTTCTTCGAGCACAGCCGAGTCTTTGAGAACTGCACTGCTGCCCCAGCTTTTGGCCTAGAGTTGCCAGAAGAGCAGCTGCATGCGCAGGTGGGTCGGTCCCTGAGGCTATACTGCAACACCAGCGCCCCAGCCCTGCGCATCGCCTGGGTTTCGCCACAGCATGAGCTGCTCGTGGCGCCAGGATCCCGCGACGGTAGCATCACAGTGCTGGCAGACGGCAGCTTGGCCATAGGAAATGTGCAGCAGCGGCATGCGGGCGTCTTCGTGTGCCTGGCCACCGGGCCCCACCTGCACCACAACCAGATGCACGAGTACAACGTGAGCGTGCATTTCTCTCGCCCAGAGCCAGAAGCCTTCAATACGGCCTTCACCACACTTCTGGGCTGCGTTGTGGGCCTTGTGCTTGTGCTGCTCTACCTGTTTGCGCCACCATGTCGCAGCTGCTGCCGCTGCTGCCACGGTACCTGTGGCTGCTGCCGTCGCTGGCCCCGAACACCAAGCCCACTCCAGGAGCTGAGTGCACAGTCCTCGGTGCTCAGTGCCACACCGTCAGACGCGCCCAGCCGCAAGGCCAGTGTCCACAAGCATGTGGTCTTTCTGGAGCCAGGCAGGAGGGGCCTCAATGGCCGCGTGCAGCTGGCGGTAGCTGAAGACTTTGATCTCTGCAACCCCGTGGGCCTGCCCCTCAAGGCTGGCTCTGAATCTGCTAGCTCCATAGGCTCAGACGGTCTCATGATGACCTAGGCTAACTAGGACCCCCACTCAGGTCCCCACCCTCCTGGCTGCTTGCCTTGGTCCCTGCTACAGCCCAGAGAACTACCAGATGCTGGAGAGAAGCACTGTGCCTGGTCCCCCAGACTCCTGTGTGGGCCTTACTTGAACCACAATGGCCCTACTTACTCACTGGTGGGACATCTAGGGTCTCCAATTTGCCTCCTGCTCTGCCCTGGCAAAGGCCCCAAACCCTTGTAGGGCCTGCTAGTAGTGCTGGCTTTCCCTGGGACTACCCAGGGCCCAAATGCCCAGTGAGGGTTGGGGACTGAGGCAGCTGTCCTATACAACTCAAGGAGTGGTACAGAAGAGTTGAAGTGTAAGCCCTTTCTAAGGTACTGAGGAAGGAGTGGGTTCTCAGGGGTAAAGGAGGAGAGCTCTGTAGGAAGATCTAGCCCCTAAGCCCAGGACAGGAGGAGGAAACATGCCTGCCCTCTGGTGAAATAGGTCCTTCCCATTCACCATCCGATCTACTGAAAACTTCACAACTTCATGCAGAGTCTGGAAGGCAGGCATTAGGCAGTCCCTCCTTGAGAGACTCCTGGGGGTCTGGCCTGAGCTCCAGCCAGAGTGGTCCTGCACTCACTGGCCAGCAGTCACTCTGAAGGCAGAGCCCATTGCATAGGCTTATAAAACAGCTGTGAAGAGCACTGTACCCTGCGCCTGCCCCCAAGTCCTCCCATTCTCACCCCTTGTTTATAAGCAGTAAAAAGCCTAGTGAACATGGCCAGCTAGGAAGGCTGAGCTGGAACTAGATGTCCCTTGAGGGCAGGAATCTCTTAAAGGTTGGCACGGGTTTCAGCTTAATGGCTAAGGCAGTGCCCTAGCTTTATGTGCATCTTGCCACTCCCAACGTAGGGAGGCAGGGAGGAGAGGACTGGGAACCCTTCGTGGTGGGGGAGTAAGCTTGTGGTCCAAGGTGTGTCCTGGCCTCAGCTGTTGAGAATTTCTTAATAAAGGCAGTACATGCTCATTGCTGGAGCCTTTGCAGACAGAGGTAACGTGGTGTGTGCTCAGTTCCTAATCCAGCGGTGTTGCCCCAGTCATTGCAGGATGGTATACTCTCCAGAGTTCTGGCTCCCATGCCCCCACCTAGGCATGGCACAGGCTAGTGGCTCTGACTGAGCCAGGACACCCTGCCCTGCTGCAGTCCCTGATTCTCCTACTCAGAGCAGCTGCACCTATTTGGGTAGCTCACATCTCATCACCATCCCTCTGCCACAAAACCTGACACTGAAGTCCATTCATGAAATGAGGAAACTGAGGTACAGGGAAGCCCTCTCCAGCCCCTCCACATCAGACGCACCCAGGTCCCATGGGGGCCCAGTCCCCAACACTCACTCTGAGGCTGAGCCATGTACCAGGAGCTGTACCAGGATGCCTGTCACTGCCACCAGAATGGGGTAATGGTCCACACTCTCTAGGCCTAAAAGGAAGGGGGAAGGAAGGAGGTGACCTACCGCTGCAGGAGCTCCAGTCCTGGCTGACACCATGCACCCTTCCCACTATCCTCCCTACAGAAGGGAGAGCTGAGCCTGGAGGGCACTGAGTCAGACTGTCCTGGGACAGAAAGGAGGCTCAGGCAGCATTACTGGCAGAGGAACTGAGGCCTGTGGTGTGCTGGGGTGTAGGGCATCTAGGTCCTCACCAGGCAGCCGTAGGGTGACCACACGGTCAAACAGGTTCCTCTCAGCTGTCACCCGGTTCAGCACCTGGTTCAGCAGCTGTGAGGGCAGGAGCCCGTTGGTGAATGGGCAGGGTAACCACTGGGGTGTCCCCCAAGTCCCACCCTTCTTGCACAGATGGACACACCTGTGCAAGACGCCGCAGGAGCATCTCAGAGTTAGGTCGAGCCCAGTCAAGGAATATCTCAGGCACCAGTGTGATGGTCATCTCCAGGACACGCAGCAGGCTGACCGAGAGGTCAAAGCAGGTGGCACATACCTTGAGCTGCCGGCTGTCCACAAAGTTTCGCTCCAGGCGTTCAGCAGCCTGCTGAATCTGAGCCACCATCATGTTGGCGAGCAGCAGTGAGTGGCCTGGCTACACCTTGCCCTTCCTTGTCCCTTGTACCACCCTGACTCAGGCCCCACTACAGCATACCTCCTGAATCATGCCAATGAATTCAGAGAATGCCCAGTTGAGCTGGTTGAGGACACTGTTGAGGAAGCTGGGTGCTACGTCAGGACCCTCCCGCAGCAGGTCTGCCATGTGCTGCTGCAGTAGGGTGGAGGGGCAGGGCTCTGCAGGAGCATGAGGAGGCAGTAGCATCAGAGATTTAAGTGGCCACTGCCTGCCTACCTCTGTCCTCACCCCTTGGGCCACTCGTGTTAAGGACAAGAAAATGGCATCCTGAGAATGCTCAGGTCATGAGGTGGGGGTCAGGGTGCAGCTGCCTAAAGGTTAAGGCTAAATCTGTGCCCTCTTTCTGGTGGGCAAAACCATAGGCTGCAGTTGTTTCCAACTCCTACACCACCCCACCACATGACGGACCTGCTGCAGGAGGGTCCTGATGTGGCATCCTACCTAGAGCAATCACACAGCCCAAGCCTGACCCCCACCAAGTTTTGAGACACCTACCCTTCAGAGAGACTCAGACCTAGACAGGGCAACATAGATTCTTCCCTATAGGTATCAAGGCCAGCTTCTCTAGAGCCTACTCTGAGCCCTGCTGCAAGCCCTACTGTCCTCTACCATCCCCTGCTGCCCTTGGCCTGGTCTTGGCATATGGCCCAGGTGGTGGGCACCAAGTCTGGACTGGCAGGCAGCAGTAATCAGAGCCCTCAGCCGCAGCTGGCCTGGCTGCCTCCTCACTCCTCTCAATGCAAATCAATAGTTCCTGCAGCAGCAGGACACATTTCTGACCCCACAGCTACTCTCCACTTGCAGCTAAGTTCTGCCCAAGAGGCAAGACCAAGGCAGCTGGAAAGGACCTGCTGTGTGACTAGGCACTTGGCCTTTCTAGGGACACCCTTCAGACCAAAAACACTGCCCACAAGGGCAGAAACACACTACATGGGCCAAGAGAGTACAGTGTGTCATACGCACTCTGCAAACTGGATGGCCCAAGACCTTAAGCCAGGCCTAGCTTAAGTTCACAAGCTTCGCTGAACTCTGGAGAGAGAATAGAGTCTCTGCTCACAAAATGCCCCTTACTCTAGGAAGTCCCATGACCACCCTTGGGTCCTAGGCAACCTCTAGTCTGTGCCCCTCCTAGACTCAGATGTTCAAGGCCCTGGGTCTAGTACCAGCACAGACCAAAGGAAGAATGGAAGGACATGGTGCTGGGAGGCCAGAGAGCTGGCTTAGAGAGCTGGCTTAGAGAGCAAGGGACAGAGTGGTCCCATGAGCTGCTAGCAGGCTGGGAGGATGTTGTCTCCTTCCACTGTGATCCAGGCAGAGTGTATAGGTCCAAAGGGTGCACATAGAACTGTGCAGCATGAGTAGTAGTCCCAGAAAACCCTTGGGCTGGGAGGAAGCATGCAAAATGGAAACCCTAGGGAACAGGCAGGGAGCCTGGGGTCCAATAGTAGTACAGGAGAGGGGCTGGAAGGAGTAGAAGAGTTTGAAATCACTCAAGAATAGTGGGTAAGGGCCACCAGCCCACCCTGCCCAGGATGCTGCCAGGACCTGCCCAACCTAGATACTCACTCTGGAGGCTGGGCAAATTGGCGTCCTCAGGTTTGGTTTTCAGTAGATGTGGTAGTCGTGTATAGCGGTACCCGAACCCACAGCCCTGGGAGGTGATATCGGGGTGGGGGAGTCAGTGGGACAGGGCAACTTCTCCCTCCAGCCAGCTCCCCTCAGGTCAGGCTTACCCTCCACAGCCGCACTAGGATCCAGTTGGTCTGGGCCCAGGGCCGCTGCTCATAGGGTGCAAGGAGGTTCCGTACCATGGCAATACGCCTGTGAGGACAAGGGATGGCAGGCATAGGGTGAGGCTGGGTATGGTGTGTGGCAAGATAGGGTGTGTGGTCCCCCCAGCCCCCACTCACTGCTCCTCGGGGATTCGCTCCACAGCCCGCAGGGAGTGTGGGTAGCACACGTAGCTGGCCAGGGCCTGCATCAGCGAGTCTCGGATGTCTAAGGGGACAGGCCATGCCTCAGCCCTGGCCCCATGCCTCATGCCTACCTGGCTGCATTTTTCATAGCAGCCCACAAGAGATGCCATCCATCCCTATCCCCTTGGCCCTCTGTAGGGCACCTCACCAGTGCCCACGATGCGTGTGTCAGCAAAGTGTTTGGCAAGGATGGCAGCCAGGCGGGTCAAGGTCTCTTCATAACCTGCAAGGGTGGGCAGTGAGAACTGTTGATAGGTGTGGGGGTTCCAGTGGTAGGCACATCTTTGGCACAGTGGGTGGGCTTGGGTAGCGGGTTCCAGAGCTGGCTCCAAAGGCTAGTCTGGATAGTTGCAGAGGGACTAAGACATACGTTTAGTGTGGGGGAATATCAGGTCCTGGCAAGAGCCTTAACCTGAATTCAAATC